CTCCGCACTTTGAAGTGGGCTTGGACTTGCTCCTTTCTCCTGCTGGGTTGACCTTTCTCTTTTTGAGAAATGGGCTCTGGAGAAGCTCTATGTGGCTGAGTTATATTTTCTTTAAGGTAATCTGAAAACAAAGCCAGCATTAACTTATCACCAGCATAAACTATAACCACACCACAGTAATTCCACACCACAAGCAATACAACAGGTTACCTAAGGCACCATGATAACAGCAGCAGCTTGAATCCTAAATTCTAAGCCAAATGCCTAGGTTTCTCGCTCAGAGAGAAGCCTCACCCATAGGGTCAGGTGCTTGTCTGCCCTGCCACATCATTGGCAGGACAGTTATAGCAAGGCCCAGCTCCTGGTTACAGGAATTGGGTTGGTCAATACATTTAGAGAACACAGTAAGTGCTTTCTAAATAAATGTTAATTGTTTATTATTATACAACATTTTAAAGGCAAGAATCATTGTATGAGATGCAGACAGAAAAAACTTTAACTTTGAGTAATCACTTAAAAGATAACAACTTGCAACAAACTATTATTCTTCTTCTATTACTTTGTTATGAAATTTTGTTTTACTTTTTTCATTAAAAAAATCAAATACAAAAAAAAAAAAACTTTAAGCAGGCCGGGGAGATGGCTCAATGGAATAAGCACTTCCCTGGCAAGCGCAAGGGCCAGAGTTCAATCCCCGGTTCCGCCAAAAAAAAAAAAAAAAAACTTTAATTGTAACTTGGTAATACATGGATAGAAACATAGAAGAGCAACATCTGGGTATATTCCACATACTTCCTCTATGTCTTACCTCACTGGTGAATTTTCAACACAAAGAATGAGAAATGATTGAAATTAGAACTATTATTTATGTAATGTAAGAAATACTTTAATTATTTAGCTTGTAAGGCAGCTAGTAAGAGATAGTAAGGGACAGAGCCTAAGATGGAGTTGGCCAGTCAGACTTACCAAAAAAAACCCCACAAACACAGTGTTAGGAGTTAACTCAAGCCCTATCATTTGCTAAACTCAGAAGTATAAAGCAAACAGGGAAAATGCAGGACTGAGATAAGGACAGGCAGTTAGAATGCTAATCCCAGGAAACTCCTTAGGCAGAATGGAACCTAGTGCTAGGGTGGATGGAAAGAGACATTATTTACTTGTACCTAGCACTAGGTTCCAATGAATTTGTGGAAGCAGCCACTTAAAGGCCTGAGCTAGGGCCAGGCCCCCTGTTCCAATGAATTTAAAGACACAGAATAACTTTTTTCTTTTGAACTCTGGAAATTTTTAATTTCTGATTTTACATGCTATATTCAGGGTTAGTTAATGTCAGACTACTACTCTTTTGAATATAATACTCCCCCCTTTGACTTCTGTGACATCACATATCCATCCTTTCCTCATCATACCATTCTGCATGACCTTGGCTGATTCGTGTCCCCTGTAGCTGTCCTTCTCCTAGATTATGATGGCTATAGTTCCTCAGCCCTGTTTTTATGTCACACACCCTGCCCAGGCAACCTGGCTGCGGCCATATTTCAACCCCTCCTTTATTACTCCCAAATGCATCATCACAGCGCTGACACCCCTGAACTCCTCTCACATGTCCACTGCCTCTGAGATTCCTCTGCTGGGATGGGCCACAGGAATTCCTGATTCAGCATGTCCAACATTAAACTCGTGGTGCCTCACTGACACCCCACAAATCCTGGTATTTCCAAGGCTCCTATTTGAGAGATAGTATCACTGTTCACCTCATCCGATCCCTTCTCCTTCACAAATCTATCACCATGACTAATTCTACTTTCAGCAATGGAAAGACTGCTATCTCTATACCAATTCTTGTCCCCTGCAAACTATTCTTCAACCTACAGCCACAGTAATCTTTTCCAAGTGGAAGTCTAATCATAACAACTTGCTTAAAAGCCTTCCATGGCTCCTGTCTCCAAAGGGTAGAATTCCCTAACATGGCCACCAAGTCCTTGCTTTGCCCAACCCCTGTATTCCTAGGCAGTCTTTTATTTCTGTCCTCTCTTTGCTGTGGAAAATACAAAGAGTATCAGATTAGAATATCCCAAAACTCATGAAGGAAGCTGAAATCATAGATAGAAAAGTAGAAAGAAAGCCAAATGAGTTTTCTTCAAGAGTCTGGGAAAAGAGGAAGTGATTAATAGAATACACTGTTGCAGAATGGTGCAGTAAGAGGAATACTGTCAATGAATTATTTCTCTCAGGATACAGTCATGAGGAGGAGGTTCATGGCCTGGGCTATTTCTTCTCTAGAGTGGAGGAGGCTGAGTCCATGGGAGCCTACAAGAAGTGCAAGAGGCAGGGCCTGGGCTGCTTCTATGCCTGCAGTGGCCTCAACGTGCCCCTGGGTGGCGTTGCTTTGCTTGGGATTGTTAGCTTGTCATTGTGCTGACGGGAAAGAGCCCTGGGAAGGAGACCAAAGAGAGCATGAAGGCATGAAGGCATGAAGGCCAGCAACAAGGGCTAACAGAGGAGAAGCTGCAGACCTTGAAGTGGATTCACCTTCAGAGACAAGAGGCAGAGTCATGGAGCCAGGCAGGGCAGAGGGCAGAACACCCAAAGCAGTGAGGACAGAAGAGAGATAGCTTAAAAAAAAAAAAAAAAAGGCAATGGTTTTAAGAAAAATCTGGGGGAGGGATAGGGATGATGTCATAGGAGATGCCAGGGAATGAGTGGGTGAGGGTCACAGAAAGTCCTCAGCAGACAGGAGCCCAGGAGAGGGACTCACGCTGACAAATTTATCCCAAACAAACAGATGCCCTGAAGAGTGAGGTGAAGGGATAGTGTGAGAGGTCAGCTGCTCTTTCATGCTGTCAGTGACAGTGACAGCCCTGCTGTGGCCAAGATTTAGATGATGTTTCTTAATCTGAAAACACAGCTAAGTGCTATGGCAAATGAAGTTAGTTAGGTGCCAAACCTTCTATCTTAGAAGTAGACTCTGGTACTTTAATCTATTTCACTTGCTTTCTTTGGCACATGAAAAGTTTTGTTTTGTTTTGTTTTGTTTTGTTTTTACATTTCCATAAAAGAAAAAGTGAATCCACTTGCCTGGATAGTAATCTTGATAAATTTCTTCGGTTTTCTCTGACTTCCAGGATACAGAATGTTTCCTAGATGTTTTACATCTCAGTGTTTGCTTTGCTGCTATCTCAGCTGACTGGTTCTTGGGTACTGTAACATCTTTGTATTTTTGCTCTTCATAGTTTAAAAGTCTAAGATAATAAGTAAAACAATTTTAAGAAAATAAATAAAAAATCTCAATAACAGAATAAGGAACTGTTAGCATTGTATCTAAAATTTCATATTTAAGGGCTAGGGAGATAGCTCAGTAGAATAAGCGCTTGCCTGGCAAGCACAAGGGCAAGTTCAATCCCCAGTTCCACCAAAAAACAAAACATAAAAATAAATAAAATTTCACATTTATAATTGAAACAGCTTTTGGGTTTAATAAATGCTTTTATCAGCATTCTCTATAACTTAAAATTATTTATATCCTACAATACAAGGTCTATTTTTTAAAGCAACATTAATCTAAGAAAATATAAGTTGTCACTGAAAATTTAAAGCTTGATTTAATTTCTTAATTTATCTTCACCTTTGAATGACATCCAGTTAAATTACTGGCAGAAAAAGTTTTCCAAAATTCAATAGTTGTATACTGTTCTCCTTTATGAAAAAAAAAAAAGAATAGGTAAACCCATCAGGATTAAAACAAAAATATTTTCATAGTACATTAGCCAACTGCCTACCTTATGACATTGAGAAAAACTTAATAACGGAATCCAAAATTACTGCCTACAATTGATTTATTTGGTAGAAGACTATATTTTAATAAAACAAAGGAAATTTAGGGTTCTGCAAAGCCTGAAATGTACTTCTCAAGGGAAAAATCTGCTGCTACAGTAAACAAAAATAATTTCATTAATAAGGGGCAAAACTTCTTTGAACTAATTTATAGATAGCTCATAAGGTATTCTTAAATCCTTTCCCTTTGAGCATTTTAGGAATCCCCATTTAGTTCATAAATATCTTTAAATGTTTCTTTATTGATACGTCTACTTGTATAGTATTTTCTTGTATTGAATTGTCATTTATGCATTTTGGATACTAATACTTTGCCTTTTATATCTTTGGTTTTTTGTTTTTTTTTTTTTTTTTCTGGAACCGGGGATTGAACTCAGGCCCCTGTGCTTGCCAGGCAAGCGCTTATTCCACTAAGCCATCTCCCCGGCCCCTGGTTTGGATTTTTTAACTATTCACTTACACGGTACTAAGAGTTTAACACAGGGCCTTCACACTGAGCTACATCTCCCTACCCTCACCTTTTTCTTCCCCCTTTCTTTTTAATTTTAAGACAGATTCATTAAATTGCTAAACTGCCCCAGCCAGACTTTTTTTTTTTTTGTACTAGGCCAGATTCAAATTACAATCCTCTACCCTCAGCACTCCAGAAAGCTGGGAGTACAGGCCTGTAGAAATTCTTTAATATAAATGTTTTTTGTCTTTAAGGTTTATGTCACTTATGTTTTCTTTTAAAATAGTTTTCCTTATTCCAGGACTGTCACAATTCTCTGCTATGTTTTCCTAACAGTTTTAAAGCTTTTCCTTTACACGACTTTTTTTTTTTTTTTTTTTTTCAGAACTGGGGATTGAACTCAGGCCCTTGCACTTGCCAGGGAAGCACTTATTCCACTGAGCCATCTCCCCAGCCCCTTCACAAGACTTTTTAATTTATATAAAAGTCCTTAAATCCTTGGTTTTGGGCTACAGTGTGTAAGGGTAGACCTGATTTCTTCCTCAACTCCAATATGAACATACAGTTGTTCAAGCAGCTGTACAGAACTCCCCTATCCTCTCCCTCACCTGCAAAACCAAGGCTGCTACACTCAAAATTCACACACTCAGCAGAGAAAGGTGGCACAGGCCTGTAATTCCAACACTTAAAAGGCTGAGACAGGAACATCATCAAAAGTGCCAGACCAACCCAGGATACATAGTAAGTTCAAAGCCAGACTGAACTATATAATGAGACCTTGTCTCAAAACAAAACATAACAAAACACACTCAGTTGTCTGCCTCCGGGATCTTTATTTCTTTCTGTATCCACTGCTTTAATTATATGCTTTATAACATGTTTCAATAGCTGCAAGTCAAGGTGACCTTTTTTCTTTTTCAGGAGCACTTTATAAATTCTTAGCTCTTTGTTTCTCCACATAAATTTCATTGAATTTTCTATTATTAAACTTCATAATTTTATGAAAGTAAAATACATTGTTTTTT